TATATATATATAATATGTGGTACGCGTTATTTGGTTTAAAGAGGCCAAGGTTAAGAAAGATTTTAAAGAGGTTTTTAAGGATAAATTATTTTCATTAAAATTACATTATAGGTTGGTTACATTGCATCATTATTATTAAGCTTAACAAATTCCCACCGCATCACTTCATAAATTGATTCCCCTTCAAACTGACAAAAAGATGTTTATCGTTTCTAAGCTTAGCAGTTTTTAAAAGTGGGAAAAATTTAAAGAAGAATTTTTTTGATAATTCTCCCCATGTTATGATAGATCCAGATGTTAATGAGTTTAATCACATCTTAGCTTTATCCCCTAGTGAAAAAGAAAAAAGTATATGTCTGACGACATCATTTGACACTCCATCATATTTAAATGTAGCACACAATTCTAAAAAACTAGCAATGTTTAAATTAGGAACTTCAGTAGATGTTCATCCAAATTGATTGTTTTGTATCATTTGGATAATATCAAATTTAAGTTTAAACGAATTGGCAGCTACAGCAGAGTTTTGTATACTCAATTGAAAATCTGGATATGACATAGGTGTTGTCCAGGTTTAGGGTTAGGTTTTATCAAAATTTTATTTGGTTGCATAGTTTGAATTTTGGATTTCGATTGAAGTCGGTTTGCCCAGTTTGAAAATCAAATCATCTGAACCAAACGAATAATCACCCATAATGTGTAGTCACTCCGCGGATTGCCCACTATTCTAAACTTATGACAACTGGATATGACATGTTAGTCGCAAAAAATTGTTTGCGACATTGTTACCATAAATATTTTTAAAAAATGGTCTTATTATAATTAATTAACATACATCATAGGTGAAACGATTAACTTGTAACTAGGATCAAAAGAGGGATAAAAATAAGCGGTCATGTTACGAGAATAAAAGCGAGTTGAAGAAAGTTAAAGAGAGACATATTTACATTACTCCAATAGAAGCGAAGTTGACTAGTGTGCTGCCATTCACGAATATAACTCATTATATTTTTCAACAGCTAAATGCTCACCTTGAAACACATAAAATATGAATAGAAAAATGATGAAAAAATTGACATAATTATAGCTAGATCCAACCCAATGCAAACAATGGAAAACATAAAACAAATAATTCACATAGCATAATCTTATGACTTTAACTCATGACCAATTTCTTACCCACGGAATCAGTGCCCTTCATAGATCCAATAAGTTAAACAATGGCAGCTTCAAGTACTTGCATGAATGTGCTTAAGTTAAAAAAAATGTTGAAACTAGACTCTTACAAAATGATAAGGGAAACTTCTTCAAGATACAATGAGAGCAAAAAAGACAGTATAAAATGATATTGATCCTCAAAGTTTTTCATCTATATATATATCAGAATTCGGGTACTTGATTCTTTTCGAGACTTGAGCAATTGTGCATTGATAGTAACAAAACATAAATGATTAAACAATTATGAATTCATCAAAGACTTTAACAATATCTTATCTTATCCATCTCATATTCATTAGTCTCAGGAACAACATATAAAGATAACATAATTCACCAATAGTTGATACGTGCACTATTGATACATTGAAATATAAAACATGTCTACAATTGTCTAAGGCTGAAATTTTGGCTATATATATGTGTGTGTGTGTGTGTGTGTGTGTGTGTGAAAATTTTAAAATTTTAAATAATTGTAGAATATTTTATTCGATGTATTAAAAACCTGTTAAAATTTATCAAATTTACTCTAGACATTTTTGTAAGTTTAAGAAATTAAAATTAAGTTTTTATAATCTCTAAATTTGCAAAATAACTCCAAAATTTGAGAGCGTGCATTAACATCTCAAATGTGTCATAATTTTCTTAAATTTAATTGATTACAATTTGTTTCATAAGGATTTTGCCGGTTTAAAATTAATGTTTAAAAATCTTTAACTTATAATCCATTATTTACCTGGGCTGGAGAAAATTTTGTGATGTTGAGTGTAGTATAACCTTATTAACAAAGAAAACTAAAATTTTTTTAAAGCCAACTACTTTTAAAAATTTTAAAGCAACAAATAAAAAAACTCTTAAAAACATAGACCATGCTAAAATAAATTAAAATTATTTAATTAAAGTGCTCATCATTTAATTTATCTCTAATTAAAATTTAACTCATTTGGTCAACTAATTGAATAACAAAAAAAATGTAATTAAAATCCCAATAAAATCTCATTTGGATTACCTAACTATTGAATTTTGCTTTTAAAAATATTCGATGATTTCTATTTTTTTTTCTTTCTCCCACATTGAAATGAACTAGGTGATTGAGTCACTCAGTCTAAAATGTTATATAGGCAAACCAAAGAAGTTTATTCCTCCAACTAAGGAGTTAGTTGAGAAGTTAAATATACACAGATTTCGTATGATTTTTTTTGAATTTTTTTTTATTATGACATGAACATGCTCGCAGACTAAGCACTCTTATAGCTAGCTAGAGTTTAATTTCTCAACTTTGTGGTAAAATATAGCTAACACAATAGTTCCTTTACATTTTCTTAGGTAAATAGAACAAAAAAACCCTATATATAATTTTTTTAGATGATTTAGGTTGCTAGGAAGATAAAAAAACATTCTCAATTGAGGGTCTAATGACAGTTGTATCTACTAGTGTAGGGTGTATGGCTGAGCTTTGCTTTGGACAGTTTCTTAGACTCAAGGAAGAAGATTGAATATATTGAGGAAAATTTCTTATTTAGTTTCTCTATTCCCCCTTCAATCACATTCATTCATAGTAAACCATGGTCAAACTCCTCTTCCAAACTACCACTTAACTCTATGTTGCAGGATGAATGGTGGGAATAATACAAGTGGTCCAACATAGTAGATTAAGGACAATGCTAATGGATAAGATGGCTAATTATTGTTTGTTATTCCTACCAACTTAGCCTAAAATAATTAATTTTATTTGTTTTAACCAAGACCTAAATATATTGGATTAACTTGAGGTAAGGCCATTCGGTCCAACAGTTTATCTCAGACAACAGTAAATGCACCTTGGATTTCATCATTAGTAAACTCAACAATAAGGTAATTGCATTCATGATTTGAGTAGTGCAAACGATTAGAACAGAGTCAAAGATTGGGTGGTTTCCTGAGCAGTATAAGGGAGCAAAAAGAATAAACAACCTCATTAGAAATACTTTCATGAGAATGGATGAGATTGTTAGTGGAGAGAACACTCAAATATAGTTTCAATTGCCCCTAAACTTATTCCTTCAATAGAGAAATTTTAAATCATCTTCCCTTTAGAAAGTCAGCTATACTTCGATTTTTGTTTGAACCATTCCTTTTCATAGGACAACACATCAACTAACTTATTCGGAGTGAAAAATCATTATAAAGAAGCTTTTTGTAAAGAGGTGTGTTCTCAAGGCCATTATGAATTTGGTATGTTCAAGCTTAACCTCATTGGCATTTTTCAAAATATAGTGAGAGAAATTCCATTTAACACCTTAAAAGCATCCTTAACATTATTGAATCTATTGTATAGCCCAAAGGTACCCCAACCCCATGGATAGTCCAAATCTCAGGGATGATGCCAATTAGGATAGCTACCTCAACAATATTTGTACATTAATTTGCACATGGAGTTAAATTATTTCAAAGTAGACAATAACAAGAAAATGGTCAGATGTTAGAGGCTCCACAACTTTAAAATAAAACAGTTTAAAAATATGTAACCATTGTGATTTCATGAGAAATTTCATAATTCTATGAGATGTCAGTTTGATAGAACTCTATGAAACCTCTGATTTTCAATTAATGCAACTTTGTAGGGACATCATACAGCCACCAGAATATAATATAGCGCAAGAGTTGGCGCACCCGAGGATCCAACCACACCTCCGCTAGCTATTCCCAAATCTGGTGATATTCCCCTATAAATTGGCCGTATGTTGCTACTGGTTTCCCTCTTTACTCGGGCCCCTTCGCTACCTTTTAGGGTTTTTCTCTTCTTGTTGCTCGGCATACACGAAGCGGCGCGGCGTCAGCAAGGCTCTCAGAAGCAACAATGAGCGAGGACAAGAAGCAAGGAGATCTCGATATGGCCGATCTGGGCTCTGCTTTACCCTCCAATACATCTGGTCTTTCTTCGTTAAGCCTTTTCCTCATCGATCTATTTTACTTTGATATCCTAAATTATCCTCTTTTGATTCCTCCGTTGCTAAGGCTGCTTATTGGTAACAGGTCTTAGCGCGGAGGACAGGGCGGGCATTGTAAATGCTCTCAAGGTAGAGTTTTTTTGCTTTTTCTTGTGTGTGTGTGTGTGTGTTTTTTTTTTTGTTGTCGTTATTGTTTTGAAATGTTGCTTTGTTTGGGAATTTGGAGACTCTGATCATCTGAAAGGGTTTGCTTGTGTGTGGCAGAACAAGCTACAGAGCCTGGCGGGGCAGCACGCAGACGTGATGGAAACTTTGTCTCCCAAGGTCAAGAAGCGGGTTGAGGTTCTGAAGGAAATCCAGGTTTCTTATCTTCTCTCTTGATTGGTGATATTATGCATATATTTGTTGTGAGTGTACCGTTGCATAATTCGGTTTCTTTGCCACTTCTAATTTCAACAGCTTATTGTTTGTGGTGTTACACATGCCATTTTTGGTTTTTCAGCCTATGCTTGCCCCGTTTTTTTGCTTTTTTTTATTAATAATGATGTTTTTTTTCCCCGAAGGTATAATTTTTTTGATAGATTGCGAACTTATGCGTTACTTTATCCTTGCTGTTTTTTTTCTCATGATTAACAATTCTTTAAGTATAGTTCTTAACATGCCCACTAATTTCTTCAAGAAGATTTATATACGTACCCCACAATATCTTTGTATTTATATATCCATCACCTAAAGTTCATCCTTTTAGCCTGCTTCCGTATTATTGGCTAATATGCACTATAGTTTTTTTTTAAAAGGATTTACATACATTCCACACAATTCCTATGTATTTACATATCTAGCACCTGAAGTTTATCATTTTATCTAGCTTCCTTCTTTTATTGCTTATAATTTTTGGTTTTTCTTTCTTTTCTCTTTTTCATGTTATATTAATAATTTATATTACATAAGTTGTACAGAATAAGTAATGGGAAAAATACTCTTAAGAATTTCTTTCCCGTCTGTGTACAAGAGGAGAGGTATACATACAACTCCCAAATGCATTAAAAAATAGGAATAAATTAAAAAAAAGGAGGGACAAATAATTAGGAGCTAGTGATCGTATAGGAAAGCACAAATATTATAATCTGAGAGTCATAGAGAGACAAATCTAATGGTACGGAGCCTCAATCTGTATGCTTTAAGTTCTGTGCTATTTGAGGGTTATAAGTAAACAATCCAATTAAATAAAGTCTTGATCTGCGTGCTTTTAGTTCTTTGCTATAATTGAAATAGAAATTCAACACATCACCTTAAACTGGATAGTAGAGATACACCATTTCATGTTTGTTTGTGATATTTTTAATTGTTGTGTTGCAAAGTTCTCTAGTAATATGTCAACTAGTTAATTTTTTGTGGACAAGTACAAATTTGGCCACTTTGCAATTTCTCTTTTCTAAAGTGCCTATCAATCTCAACATGTCTGGTACGATTATACTGTACAAGATTGCGTGTAATGTTGATAGTCAGTTTATTATCACAATATATTTTCATAAGTTATTTTTACTTGATTTTTAAGTCTTTTAATAAAATTTTAACCCAAAGAAGCCCACAGATCTTTTATGGAATGGATCTAAACTTGGCTTCAACAGTTGATCTTGAAACTTGGCTTCAACATATTTTCATAAGTTATTTTTACTTGATTTTTAAGTTTTTTAATATAATTTTAACCCAAAGAAGCCCACAGATCTTTTATGGAATGGATCTAAATATGGCTTCAACAGTTGATCTTGAAACACTGGCTGTTTCTTACTTCTCCAAATTATGATATTTCTTCTTAAGAATATACGATGCTCTAAAGTAGATATTCTATTCATTGGTGATCCAACATAGTCTACACTTGTGTATCCTTGAACTTGTAGGTTATTATATCTTTTGTATGAAATTTTTTTTATTCTGGGCTTGATTTGAGATATCTGAGGATTTTATAAGTGGTTTGAAGGTGCAATTTTTTTATTTATACATTAATTGACTAACTAGACTTACTGCGAACACGATGTTAGAATGAGTATGGTAAGTACATTAATTTTGCTCAAACCTTTAATATTATTCGTATCTACATTATTTTCATAAAGTTTCAATTTTTTTCCTAGTTCAGTTGGTGTTTCACACGACTTACACTCTGAGATCTTGGCTTCTTTCAATAAATCCATTATATATTTCTATTCGGAGAGAAATATTCTTTCTTTAGATCGAACCACTTATATTCCCAATAAACATTTAAGTTTTCCTAAATCATTAATTTTAAATTTTTTGGCAAGCTTTTTTCTGAGGGTTTATTTCTCTTGATTGTCATCTTTTGTAATAATCATATCAACATACATAATAAAGATTGAGATTTGACCATCAATAGAGTGTTTTATGAAGTGAGTGATTTCTTTGACTCTGCTTGTATGTGACACTTTTTATAGTCTTTGCAAATCTGTCAAACTAAGTTCTTAGCGATTGTTTTAGGGTGCATTTGGGGCTGGTACTGGTTTTATACGAAGCAGTTTGCTTGGATAAGCATCTTCTCAAGTGCTGTCAGAAAGCCGCTGTTTGAATAACATGCGTCTGTTTGGATCATCTGCTGTGCTGCAACTTTTTATGATGAAAAAATTGTTTTGTGCTTATATATATCTAATATATTTGAATAACCAGTTTTCAAAATAATTACATCACAATAACGGAACCAAATCCAACAATAAAAAAATCATGTGAAAAGTCTAAAATTAAGCAATACATAAAATGTGATAGTAATTTCATGTATATTTCCACAATAACAAGAACCATCAAAATAACCAACAAGGCTATAATGATGCTTGTCTTTATGTCTCGACGATCAAGTCTTTGGCATAAATTTTTTCTCCACAATAGTATCTTTCTTCACCTTGATCTCTTTCTGGGGCGAACTCATCCGTGTCTTCAGCCTAAAAAAAATATTTGTAATCTTGAGGTGTCCTGTTTTGAGACAACAATAATATCTCTTCCCGTATCTATCTTCTCTTATTGATTGATTCTCAAAACACCGTGTGTCACATTGGCAATACAGAGCTCTCGAAGTACTTGATGATCTTCAACTCATTTTTTCTTGTGATTATAATATATCATGACTTTAATTGACAAAATATAATAGATATGCAACTTAACAATAAAAAAATATTCATTAAAGGAAAATACTTATCTAACAACTAAATTTTAATATTTGAATCCACTTAAATCAATTTTTTAAAAGTTTATTTTTTTGAAAGAACGAACAATTCTCATATTTCTATCCATAAAATGTTTTTCCTAATTGAAGAAGAGAAAAATGATATGAAATAACTTATCTAATCTGAACTTTGATATTTACATCAGCGCAATGCAAATTCTCAAGAAAGCGACATATCATACACAGTGAGAGGTAAAACAGAAATCATCAAACCATCAACAGGTAAACCGAGAAGATGGTAAAATGCAAACCACCAAACCACCAAACCACCAAAAGGAAAAGATGGAAAAACTCAAACCATCACCTCAACAAACAAAAAATGAGAGATACATACAAAGATATGAAGCGAGAGGCGACAACATTGAGAAGGGATGGAGGGGAGAAGGGAGCCGTGATTCTGCTCTAAAGCTACATAGCGATAGAGAATGGGGGGGACAGGGTATGGAAGGGTATTTGTGGGGACAGAGAGGGGAATATTGGGAATTGTAGAGGTGTAGCGATGACAATTCACGCTCGAAATGGAAGTAAAACCATATAACTTAGGCTCCCCTGGCAAATTCGGCTTTCGTTGTTCTGCAGCCGCATGTCGTCAAAAAGCACGCGTGAAGCAGTCTCCCAAACGCAGCGTTTGGCGTTTTGTGGCCGATAAGCAGCGAAAAGTCCATATATGGCTTGTTTTCAATCTGCATACCTGATTCATTTAAAAGTGCTATCAAATTCTAGTGACGCATTCATATAGACCTTTTCTTCAACATTATCATATAAGAAAATATTTTTTACATAATATTATTGTACGAGCCTTCCAAAATTTGTTATTAAGGCTATCGGAATGCGAATAAAAACAAAGAAAAATTTTTCTTGATAATCAATCCCGTATGATTAAGTAGATCCTTTTGTCACTAATCTTTTTTTATACCTTTCCAGGCTCTTATTTGCATTGTATTTCACCGTAAAAGTTTCTTTTTATCTTACTGTATTCTTTTCTTCTAGTATTTTAGTGATCTCCCGTATATGATTTTTTTTTAAAGGCATTCATTTCTTCTCATGGATTTTTTTTAATTTTTAAGAGATGGGATATAACTGTGGTAGTGAGTTGAGTAGTGTTATCTGATAACGATTTAAGTTTTGGATTTGTTGGAGATCTTAGTTGGGTTCATTTTTTAAAATTGCTCAATCTAAGGTTGACACAATTATGAAAAAAAATATTTTGATGAATATGCGTCAAGTAGCTTGGGCGAGGTGTATGCCTCACATTGGTTGAGGCAGGACTCGCCTCAATTATATTGAGGCGTTCACCTCTTGCCCTTAGATTTTTTTTCTTCAATATTAGATATTTTGAATACGAATCAAAGCCGCATTACTAGCATCACCATTGCTTCTTGTTGCTTCCACCATAGCGATCACCTGCTTCTTTTGTTATAGCCGCCCATTGCTTGTGTAGTAGCCACTGTTTGTTTCTATTGCTGACACTACCACCGTAAATTGCTTCTGTTGCCACCAGTAGTGCCTGCTGCTCCGACTTTTGATTATTTATTATGTTATTATTTAGATCTATGAATGTTAATAAGTTGATTGGACAATAAGAGTGAGAGAATTCTAATATGTCAAACTCATCTTTTATCTTACTGTAATATTTTATATTACTTTAATTTCATATTTATTGTTAGTTTGATGACTTAACTAGTTTATTTTTACATTATATTTTTATTTGTGCAAGTTATTATATGATTTTTTGCAGCTTACATAATTTATAACTTTTTACAATGCTAGAATATTAATGTTTTTTTTAATATGCATATAAGTTACGATGCTAGTGTATCATTTTTACAGTTATATTTTGATTTAACACAAATTTGAAAATGTGAGGCTATGCCTTAGATCACCTCGAGGCTTACGTCTCGCCTCACAAATGGAAAAAACCTCAATACGCAATTGTATAATTTTAACCCTTAGTTTTGTTTGTTCTTTATTGTATAGACCTGAAGGGGTTAGTTGGTATAAGATTTGCATTTAAAATGTTTTTGTTACATGGATGCTAAGATGAAAGATATCATCAAATTCATCATCAAAATTAGAAGTTTTCCATAAAAGACGAGTTTAAGTGAAAAAGTTATGAGTTTCATCAAAAGTA